CCCCAAAACCCCAAAACCCCAAAACCCCAAATCTCCCAACAAATTAATACCAAACAAGCCCCATTCAGTACAATTCCAGGAGTAAAATACCCTCATGAAGAACCCTGAAGGTCTAAAAATTAACCTTATAGTACAAATCCTGAGTAAAAATTAACAAATTTGTACTATAAATTCTGTTTTTGATAAGAAAATTTAGAGATTTTGGTTAAGATTTTTGAAAATTTGAAAAAATTTGAGTATTTAGTAGAAAAGGTTAGAATAGGTAGATTGAATTGGGAGTGATAGTAGAGGAGTTTGGAGGAAAAGGGGAATTTAGGATGAGTCTTAAGGATTTTTAGTGGTGAGGAGGATTAGAGATTTTGGAGTGAGATAGAAGTAGGTTTAAGTGTTATTATGCCAGAGGAATCTACCGATATGGGTGGGGTAAGGGTGGACTGGCAAAGGGAAAATTAGATTTAGTGCTTTGAGATAGGTTTGGGGGGTTGGTTATGTGATGTTATTTTTCTCCTTTTCATCATTGGAATAAACAGCAACAGAAGATGTAATAGCATGGGTTTTTATTTTTTCTAATTTGTAGGAGAAGACTCTCAGCTTTAGGATCTTTCTCACAGTTTATACTAAGGGAAGTTCTTTGATCTAAATCTATAGTTCCTCATTCTTGGTCTCCATAATAATTGTCTGACTTAACAGCTGGCCGAGATGATAAAGATGTCTCACTTTTATGAGTGCCTTTTGATGAAGGAATTTTTTTCCTATTCTTAAAATTTTTGATTGCCTCATCAACATTAATTAGTACCTTCAGACGCTGGATTCTGAGAAATCATTCGATTGTCTGGCTCAGTTCTAAATCCTCTTATATTTAACCTCATCCTGGGCTCTTTTCGTACAGTCTGACATTTTATGTGGCTGTTCTTGATCCTGGCACTCATCTCCAACCTCAATTAACTTATCATCATTCTCTTTTTCAGTGTTTAGCTTCTGAATTGCCCCATACTCAAGATTTTTACCTAAAACAAAATGACTGCATATTCTTCACGTCTAAATCTGTCAAGAGTCCAAGTCTAAGGCTGAGCTCTAGCTTTAAGTTCTTCTAGGGACTCGCAGTTGTACTGGAAGGGGGTTTACCTGCTAACATTTCCTAAAAGTTTTCTATTAAAATGATGTTTATTGGGGTTTTGGGGTTTTGGGGTTTTGGGGTTTTGGGG